GCGGCGGACATTGGCTGTTCTATAATAGTTCTATTCATGTGTGAACAGAACATCGCAGTGGAAGTTCATTGTCTCGAAATCTCGTACTTTTAACATCTCTGAGATGTTTTTGTGCTCGCTGGGCGGTCTTATATTTGGAATGAGAAAATTCCAGAAATAATTCAGATAAGGAATGAATTATAAATACAGAGTCGTATTTTTTAGAACTACCTTGATGCAATAGCTATCTAACAGGGTACAAATGATAATAAAAGTGCTTGATACGGGTTTGTTATCTTGAAAGGATAGTAAAAACGTACTTGAAAAACTTTCATTAGTATTCACTTTCTACAAATCCTGTTCAAAATGATACCTCTATCACGAATACTCTATTGTATAACTGTCAATGAGTCCCGTTAACAGAAAACTTCCGTAGGAAACTAGTTTTTCTTGTTGAACGAGGGTTTCCTTCCGTCCAATGATGGAGGTTATGATCATTTGTTATGCTATTTGGATACCTCGAGCAAATAAACGAGAATAAAAATACTGCCGAAAATGAATACTGATAGGCAATTTTCATGTGTGATTTATACTATTCCTTCGAAATAACAAATCCGTATCAAGCAATTCAAGTTTCATTTGTTCCCAGTTAAATAGCTATTGGCTCGAGGAAGTTTCAACAATTTTTTTACAAATGTGGCTCAGAGATTTTTCTAAAAACAACCGCTAGAATTTGGTTGAAATCCACAATAATTCACAAACAAAAATACGACTTTTCATCTTCAATTTATCTGTGATATGAATTATTTCCGTGATTTTGTCATTCCAAACATAAGATCATAGTGTTGATCATGTATTCTAGTTGGAAGTTTGAAAAAATTTAGAGCAGATTTTTGAACCCTTGGGGTCTACCTTTTTGAGAAAAAACAAAAAAAAAAAAATAAATACTATTAACTTTTGCATAACGCACAGGGTTTAATTTACTTCTCACCACCTTTTCTATCACATCTCCAAAGGAATGTATCGAATTACCAGTAACCCTGTATACAGAGTATGTCACAATGAGCTTACACTATCTCTATATCAAGATTCAGTCGGAAAAATCCATGAAAAGATGCATTTTCGATAGACACCAAGTGTGAGATAACGATGAAATCAGCTCTCCAGGGAGAATCTAAAAATGCGATGAAATACAGGGTACTCCATTTGAAATATCAATGTTGTTACTACTTTCTAGTAGAAGCGGCAACACCGCATTGTCAAAAACATTTTAAATGAAGAGAAAGTATTCTGGAATATAAGCATGCACATCTTCATGGATTTCTCTCTAGTGATTCTAGATTTAAAGATGGTGTGAGGTCGTCGTGACACAACCTGTATTTTGATAAAGAGAATGCGAACCACTACTTACCATTTTTTGCATTTGAATGTCCAAATAGGAGAAAATATAACAGTAACACTGCTACAGACATAGTATCGTCTTTTTTTCACACATATATGAAACTATTCTGGCACAATAATAATATTTTTTATGAATGTACGGATCAAACTTTCGGGATGATTTGTTTGTTATATAGGAGTCAATCGAACATGTTCTTATCTCTTATCTTCATTGAGATACTCACGACTTCATCGATATACTGATTAATTTATCTCTGTATCTGACAGATAAAGTAATTATAGTGATCTATAGTTAGTTAATGATTACTATGACTTTTTTCAATATCGATATATCGCATTGTTCAATTTACAAAACAAAATGATTTCATGAAATTCTTGTATATTATATGAAGTCATGGAGAAAGCTATTCAACATCGAGCTCATGAAATACCTGGAACATTCAGGTATTATCAACGATATGCAATATGGCTTCCGTCATCAGAGATCAACTGGTGACCTGCTCGCTTACGTCTCACATATATGACAGCAATCTATTGAAAAATATGGTGAAACCTTAGCAGTGGCACTTGATATCTCCAAAGCATTCGATCGAGTCTGGCACCACGGACTCCTCGCCAAGCTTCCATCTTATGGCTTGCCTCCCCAGCTATATTCCCTGCTAGCTAGTTTTCTCTCAAACAGATCTCTCCATGTAGTGGTCGACGGAGTTTTATCTGACTCTCTTACCATAAATGCTGGTGTTCCGCAAGGATCAATTCTAGCACCAACACTATTTCTACTCCATCTCAACGATTTGTTGGGAGCAAATTCATGTCCAGTACACAGCTTCGCGGATGATAGTACCCACTATACCGCCTTCTCTTCCAGGGCTCCAATACTAGCCAGGCAAATCAGAAACGAACGAGTGAGAAATGTTGACAACAATAATACTTGAAATCATCTCCACGACAATCCTTTATGTTGTGTTATTAGTTACTACTTCACTCCATCATGACTTTTACCAGAGATTATGAATTCTGTGTTCTATGTTCTTGCATAACTTATCGCATGGAATTGGAGGTGTACCATTATAGCAGAAAAAAAATCAACAGGTGAATAATACAAATACTAAGAAAATCAATTGAACTGCTCAAAATGGCCCCCATTGTTCTCGATACATTTTAATATTCGCGAGCGAACATGATTCACTGCTTTCCTCAGATGAACTCTGTTGATGTTCTGCAATGTGTCCATCACTCTATCTCGTAGATCATCAATATCTTGAAGTGGCTTCAATAAATTGTATTTTTGGCGTAGCCCCACAGGTAAAAATCGAGAGGCGTTCAATCAGGCGACCTTGGAGGCCATCTCACAGGTCCATGAGTATTAATAATTAATTTAGCACCAAATTGATTTTCGACATATATTCCATAAACAATCGCGAATTGTGCGGTGGGGCACCATCTTGCTGAAACCACATTGTCTACCTCCTGAAAAATATACACAATGAGAAACTGTTATTTATGGGCACTTTGATTCTCTGATGATATGGGGATTGTGCCCAGTAATGATGATTATGATTATTGTAAATTCCATAATTATGAAATCTCGTTTCATCGGTCCAGCAGAAATTCTATGGAAAGTTCTCGATTATTTCACACTGGTTGACGAACCAGTGACAAAACTCGAGACGACGTTCATTATCATCAGGTCTTAACCCTTCTACTATCATTGGTTTAAAAGGGTGGTACTTACCATTGAGTAAATGTCTGTGAATTGTTGTTCTCGGCACAAGAGTTCTTCGACTAAGCTCTCGAATTGAAATGATAGGAGTTTGACTGATGATTCCTTCGATATTTGCAATTTCTTGTTCATCCAAGCGCAAATCATACCTAGGTACAATGAAGCTTCCATGCTCTTGTACATTTCTTTGTAATTTTAGAAAAATAGAAGGGTACGGTTGTTGTCTGTTTCTGTTCTTTCGATGATTTATGATGTAACAATTGTAATAATGTACTTGTATTTTCTCTTGACGTTTACAGAAATGTCACTAGGCTCCACAAGATGTCGAACAGCACTTTATCAGGACTCCTTCATCCATAGAACGGCTAGGCTCTGGAATTCATTGCCTGTGGAAGTATTCCCAACAACATAATTATAATCTCCAGAAGTTCAAAAAAAAATCCAATACCTACCACCTATCTCTATCCTCCCTAGGAACGCACGATGTTCTTTGAACATTATAGGGATTCCCTTTCCTGCGCTTCAAGCGATAAAAAAAAATTGGGGAACTGTACCCCAAATAGAATAAAACTGTGAGTTCGATACATCACTAGAAAGAAAATTTTATGCTGATTTCAAATCTGTAAAAATCCAATATAGCGTTAGTTAGAAAAATTGAAGTTGTAGGTGATATCTCAGAAATTTTACATTTTGATGTAAAACTGACAAAACCATTGAAAAGAGCACAAATAAGTGCTATGAGAATGTCGAAGTCATCTTTTTATAAAATCAATAGTTTCCGAGATATTCCAGAAAAACAAGAATACAAGATTTCAGTTTTTCTCAAATAACTCAAGAATGACTAGAGTTAACCCGGATTTCTCGATAGATTCTGAATCAACATCAAATTTGCTACAACTTTGCTAACTTAACCGTTTCTCTATCTTCATTGGTTGCATACGCATCGAAATATGTGTGTATATCGCGAATCATTGACACTGATGACAGTTTTATCTACCTAGGTAAAATTGCTTTATCAATCGATCATTATTCACCTAGGTTCAAAAAGTGTTACTTCTCGTTAGAGGGAATCCTCGAATAATGGTGATTTCTCAGATAAGTGGTGGAAGAATAGTAGATTGTTTTATTAGGATCAAAAGTGACACTTTTTTTGACAAGCGAATTTTGTGTTTTGTGTGTTGTTGATCCGAATGAAACATGCTATTTTTCCTGCAACCGAAACAATTAACTCAAATGAACATGTGAAGTAACCAACAATGACGTGCCATATGTATGAAATGCAACAAATATTGACAAATAATCCATGTAGTGAGAATATTCTACCTGCATTAACAGCAGGTTAGGTTTTCTAGGATGTTCGAATTGTAGTTTCAATAAAAATACAACCACAGAGTGACATATTTGTGTATGGACCAGGTGCTTAGTGGTGGTGGTTAGTGAACATATCAACAATGATAATAGTGATTATTTATTCCTCTCCATACTACACTGTGTTTGACTTGATAATCCAATAAAGCTAAACAACATCGTTGTTTGAGACAAAAAACCGAATGCTTGCCGTGATTATTCAAAAACAAGTTATCCATCCCGAGAATAACGAATGAAATACAGATCAAGCAAGTATTTGAATCTTGAAGGCTTCCCTGATCAAAACAAAAATACTTAACCGAGATGTTTATAATTCCAATACCAAACTATTATAATAAGGTGTATTTATATCTCCAGCATGAGTATGAAATGCCAAATCTGCTGACATCGGAAACAAATCAGGTATGCACCTCAACCCAAATAACCAACCGTCACAATGTTGTTCATTCTCGATGACGTCCAGTACAACCTTTTTAGTTCCTAGGAGCTAAAGTTCAACTTTAGCTCCTAAGAACTAAAATCCAACTTTAGCTCCTAGGAACGAAATATGTTGCCTAGCAACATACCTATTTTTGTGTCAGTAATAGAAACGTCAATTCAAGAGCTAATTTTGGTATCAAAATGGACGACTTTTGTGTCGGTTGCAGAAAAACAAATATTTCGTTTGATTTTGGCATTTATTCCACTGATTTTGACTTGATACATTTTTAACGTGTGAACCCGAAGAACCCTCATTCTTTGGCCATATCGCCCACTTTCTCAATTTCCTCGTGCAACTTGTTCACCGGCACCCGCGGAGATAAATTCATCATGGAGGCCCATTGACCGTCGCAGAGGTTCTCGAATCCCATCTCGCTGAGTAGGGACCCCCCTAGGTCGCCAGGACCCCTACAAGACGGCTGGGAGTCCCAAACTTTGTTTCTATTCTCGTCCACCCAACTGAAAAAAAATGCCTGGTTTATTTTTTTGTACACCACATTACTATACAGAGTGAATAATGTCTGTAGGTTAAACAAGGAGGTTACTACATTCATTATTCCAGATTCTTTGGGATTTCCTCTCCTCGTTGCAATAAAATGAAAATTTGAATAGTACAGGGTTTCTATAAATGATCATAACATCGTAGTAGCCGTTGAAATATTCTCTCTATTTGCCGCCTTTCATTTATGGAGATTCACACATTCGAATTTAATTTCTGACATCAATCATTATACTGGCATAGCTGATAAACTCACAATTATCAGTTTTCCGTTGAAATTTTCAAACGATTCTGTTTTCTACTTCGTGAATGTCGTGTTGAGAAGAGGGATGGCTCATTCCTCGGAGCAGAATACATTTTTTGTAATGTCTTATTGTCGAAATGGCACATTCAAATGGTGGATGGAGTTACTCGGTAGTAGCCTGTAAGGATGAGTTCCTGGCGAAATATCCTAATGTACAGATTCAAGAATCTTCTTTGAAAGCCCACATCAGAACAGTGATCAACAGATTCATCCAAACTGGAAATGTCAATAGAAAGAAATCAACAGGAAGGCCCCAAATATCGGAAGAAGTTGTCGAGAATCTAAGGGCGCGTGTTGAGCAAAATCGCCAAACGTCATTGAAGAGATTATCTTTACAATCTGATGTGCCACTAAGTACATGCCATAAAGTGCTCGAGAAAAGATTGCATATGCACCCTTACAAGACCAGTGTACTACAGCAACTTCTGCCAATAGATATCTCACGTCGTCTGGAGTACTGCCAATGGTTCCAAAATAATCTCAACAATGACCATCAGCTATTAGACCTAACATTTTCCAGCGATGACGCTTGGTTTCATTTGTTGAGATACGTGAACCATCGTGAAATTTTAGGTTTCGGAGATCTGAGAATCCCCACAATTCCATTACATTCTCAAAAAATTGGGGTGTGGTTAGCAGTTCCTCGTAGGCGAATATATGGACCGATTTTCTTCGATAGCACTATCAATGGTGAAAGGTACAGACAAGTGATGTTAGAACCATTCATCAATCAACTTGATGATGAAGAAATTCGAGTTGGCTATTTTCAGCAAGATTGGACCACTGCCCACACCACACGTTCAAATTTAGAATATTTACAAGAATTTTATGATAACCGTGTGATAAGTCGAGGAGTTAATCCTTCTTTTCCAACACGTTCTCCAGATTTGACGCCTTTGGATTTCTGCCTTTTTGGATATTTGAAAGACGAAGTATTCAAGAGAGACAATGATAACCTTGAAGAGCTGCAAGCCTCAATAGCACATTGCTGCCAAAAAATATTGGCCCGCAAATGCTGAGGAACATTTTCGACAACAAACGGCGAAGAGTTTTGAAATGCTTGGAGAACAACGGAGAACATTTTGAACATTTGATGTAGGTTAATGAGATAAACCGTTATTTATTACTCTTCTTTAATAAATATTTTTGATTTGGTCCATTATTTTTCAAACTCCAATATTGGACTCTCCTTCCTTTCAGATACATTTCCATAGTGTATGCAAAACGATATTAAAAAAGATCCTGTATATGATCACTTCCTCTCTTTTTGGTAGTTAATTGTTGTTAATAGCATTAGTAGAAAGCGGCAAAAGGAAAAAAATTTCAACAGCCACTACGATGTTACGATCATTTATAGAGACCCTGTATTTCAATATACGTGTAATAAAGACAAATCAGATGATTTTCCCCCAAATGTCACTGCGTTTGGAGAATTTTCCTATCAGAGAACCTAACAGAAAAATTCACAAGCTTGTCAGTGACAATTTGTATTGGAAAAGGTTTGTAGAAATAAAGGTATATATAGAGAAAATATTAAACTTTCACTTAGCTAATTGTTTTTCAGAGACATTGTATCTCCAAAATATGTGAGGATTATGAACAAAAGGATGATATATGAACTTTATTCTTCGAAATTGGCAGGTCAATTGATATTTGCTTTTTCCGTTATATTCACTCACATAGCCAGATACAGTATGTTGCAGTCACAATGCCAAGGGTTTTTTGCCAATTTTATTGACACCAGTTCCTGCAGAAAATCCAGAGATTTGCTTGGCAGATAATGAAACTTATTACTATCTAGGTGCCTGGAAAATACAAGATCATTGAAAACAAACGCATTGTCATGAATATATTTATCAGAAAAAATATTATTGATCATATTGGCGAAAAACTTACAATTTCTGTACACTCGGTGTATAGGAGAATACTCTGGAGTGAATTTCTTTTAGAATATTATTATTGATAAGCAAAGATGTCAAACTGATGAGACCGTTGAAGGTTCTTTCTTTCAGTTCTTCCAAATTGTTGGAAAATAGAAAGAGCTTTTCCATATTTCTGTTTTCGACGAAAGTGTTTTCTGGAATTTCGATGATGAAATTCTGGCCTAGATGGAGCTCAATTATATTGGTAAGTTTTCGGAAATCATCGACTGCAACCTAAAAAAAAATACACACATTCTCTAGTCCCACTTTCAATACAGAATTATTATGTGAAATTCAGCAGCTGTATATTTACCTGGCCTATTTTATTATTAGTGAGTTGTAGGACTTTTAGATTTTGTAGTTTATCGAAAATATTGGGTGCCAAGTGTGAAATTTGATTTTTTCTCAGATTCAATTGCTCCAAGCTTGACAGATGATCAAATACACCTGGAAAATAGATTGAATGGATTTTTACCATGTATTATTATTTCAAAGTATATCAAAGGGTCCCATTTCATACAAAACACTTTTTAAAACTTTTCAAATGATTTCTTGAAATTAATATGACAAGAAAAATATATGCGCTAGGTCGGCAAAGGTAGGTTAGGTTAGGTTAGATTCACTGCGTCCCCAGAGGAGGCACAACATTGAAACACAACCTCACTTTTCTTATTTGTTTACAAGTGAATGGAATAGTTTTTCACAATTATTTTAGCAGACGAATCGTATTTGAATCGTATTTTCCGGCTATTCATGAATTCGCTCATGCAATCACATTGTGCTGTTGTGCAATGCACAAAAACTGCAGCGGAAAACGAAGGAATCCGGTTGGTACATTATGATTTGAAAGTAAGTACCTACTATAGTCACTCACATATAGTTTTCTTTTCTGAAATTTAGCTTGTATTGCGGAAGTGGCAGAAGGAATTTTAATAAGGAATGGCAAAATTTCATAATGAATACAATGTGAGATTAATATTTACCTGAAAAATCATATTCCTTCGTCTCTCGCTGCATTTTTTGTGCATTGTACACAATACGGAGGCACGCTTGAATTAATGAATAGCGAAAAAAACACGATTAGTTAGCCAAAATATTGTGAAAAAATTATTTCAATCCTTTGATTTCTCTGTAAACAAATAAAAAAAGTTAGGTTGCGTTCGAATAATTCACAGAAGAGTGAGGTTGTGTTTCAATAATATAGGTCCAGGGTAGGTCATCGTGCACGCGACCTACTGTTATGTTAGGTCAGGTGAGGTTAGGTTAGGTTAGCAAAGTTAACTTATTCATATCATGCAAGAGATTTCTCCCTGCAGGAAAAACTGCACGGCCCGATATGTTTTACAAGGTTTTTTCCTACACGATACACAGGGTCTTTCGTAATATGTGGGACAAACTTCAAGAGATAATATAGGGCGTCTCAAAAAAATGAAAATGTTCCGGTGAACACAGTCATCGTTATACATCAGTCGTCTGATTCCGTCTTCAGATTCTTGGTAATTTTGGAGAAAATTCATTATACAGGTAAGTCATGACTAACCAGCCATAGCCTAATGGCAGATAGAGGAACTCAAGGTGAATTGATACATATATCGGAGAAAATATCTTCTGCCTATTCCAAACAGAAATACAGGCTACACTTGTAGTATTTTTCCTGATCTTTCTGATTCTGATGAAAGTTTGTGGAAAATACGATTCAGAAAGTCGAAATTTTGACATTTGAAAAGATAATGAGTATTCTAAGTCCGACTCTGGAATTTTACTCCCATAGTAGGTCATCGTGGTCGCGGTGTCAGTAGAGATAAACTGCTGATGAACTTCAAGCGAAAACAACGAGACTTTCCGGAAATATCGTTTATCTAAATTAAGCCCTGAATTCAAATAATCCTCTGTATTTCTGTTATATACGAATAGGCAGAATATATTTTTCCACATATATATCAACTCACCTTGACTACCTTCATCCGCCATTGGGCTATGACTGGTTAGTCATGACTCACCCTGTATACATGATATTCTATCAAGTTGTTGATTTGACATTATATCTCTGGCGTATTCATGGAGATTGTGATACATCATTGTATTCGTAAGCTAATAAGTTTCTCAAGCATGCCATAATTATATGAGGGGTGAAAAAAAGCTAGTTGTATCTGCTTAGGGGTGGTTTATTATCGATGGATTGTTTTAATGATTAATTTTCCTGCAAAACTCTTTCCCATTTGAGCCAGTTTTTTCAGAACATTGTAAAAGTATCCCGTTCTCGAGTTAATGTGTGTAAAAATAGAGTTGGGACACCCGGTACCTATATACAATTCATCCTACTTTATACCTACCAGTAGGCAAGATAGATATATTATTTTCCGCCAAAAACAGTCTTCTCAGCGAAATCAGATCGACGAAAGCGAACTTGGGCAAAGTTTCCAGCAAATTGTTGCTGACATCCAGATCTTCCAGCCTATCCAGCTTGTTCAGCATTTTTTCTGGGAAACGCTTCAGCTGGTTCCTGGATAGGTGCAGCAGGATCAGGTTCGGAGTCGATGAGAAGAGATCGTCAGGCAGATCCTTCAACAAGTTGTCTGAGATGTCGAAAGTTTGGAGGTTTCTTTGGGAAGAGAGCAGAGTCGGAGCAAGATCCTCGATCTTGTTTTTGTGTAAGCGTCTACAAAATAGAGAAGAAACAATGACGCGTTGACTTATAATGCATTATTGGCATTCAATTAATACACTGTGTCGTTATGGACTTGAATTAATTTTTGCAAAACTTCTCTCACTTTTTTTATGTATATAATGAGTGTTCGACTTTGGTATTTGGCGATACGTCGAATTAATCGTGACGTCAGCTTTTATGTTGTTTCGTTATTGGTCAGATAATCTTCCGTTCCCACTAACGAAGCAAGGTTGTTAAGTCACCAATTATAATCAAGTTATCAAAAAGATGTAAGAGTCCTGTCATTGAATAAAACAAAATAGAAGGGACCATGGTATTATATAGTTCATTCTTGACTCTGTCGAACAACCGCATGTCCAAATATTTCTAATACTTCATAACAAAATTTCATGTGAATGTGGAGACTTGGCAACATTGTGCTGAATTTTTTAAATGTATGATAAATTGACGTTCATCATACAGGACGTGGAAAGAAATTCTGAATTGAGAAAAACCTAATGACGAATCTGCGATCTATAAAATAACAAGTTTCCATCGTTCAAGTTCGAACTCCTTGATTGGGTGAAAGTATTGAAAAGGAACATTCTCAGATACGAATGATTTTTTCGGAAGTTCCGAGCTCAGCAAGATCAGAGTTCATACAAGTATGCTTCTCCTATACATTTCAATTTTCATTTCAATACTGAACATATCGGTAAGTTATATTTTTTCATCATAATACATCATATTATTCTATTCGATTTGAAAGATGATGTTAATTCTCAATTTCAGAGGATTTTGATCTTTCATGCTCTCTTTTTGGATATTCAACAGATATAATTCAATGTTCGCCGTGGCAAATAGCCAGGAAAGTAGTTGTTTTCTGTTGAATATTCAGAATTATATATATACATATCTTTATATGAAGGAGAATGCAAATTCTCTACTTCAGATGATTTTGTTTTCAAATTCTCATCGTGTGTGTTCAATAGATGTAATTCAATATTCGTTGTGGCATATAGCCAGGAAAGTAGTTGTTTTCTGTTGAATAAACCGTGAAAGAATTGATATTTTCATCACATGGAGAATGCGAATTCTCAATGTATTTCTTTATATATATATCCATTCTTTTGTGTTCATAAATATATCTGAGAATATTCTTTTTCAATATTGTGCTGAATGCTGTGAGAAGGGACAACACAAATTTTGTAAATATACCAGGACCGTAATAGGGCCAATTCTTATTGCTTATTTTATATATATGGGCAAATTGTTGCGACATTGTCTATTTTGATGAGTTCTACATCCTGTTGAAAAACATGTTCCACCTTCCAGATCACCCTGTATGAATGCATAGAATCAGTTTTGAAATAGTTATTCACCTAACAAGTGCGAAAAGTAGCACTTTTCCGCAACAGTTAGGTACAAAGTTTCTCGTACGAGAGTTCTTGTCCATATTATTTATGAATAAAAAAAGGTTTTAAATGAACAATATTTCATAATGATGCTTCCAAATGACACATAAGTTACACATTCAGTAAGTCCTGAATATCCTTATTTTCAACAATACAAAAATCGCGCGGAATAGTAACTTTTCAGCACGATATTTTCATGCACTGAAAAATAATTAAATAGATTTGTTTTCCATCGATACAATAGGAAACTTATTTGAAGAACATTTAAATCACAATAACTAGAACATTAACGATGGTAAATATTGAAATTGAAAGTGCGATTTGTGTTTGTTGCATGCTGTAATATAGCAGATGCCGTAACATCTCGAAGTACGTCGTTTCTTATTTGAATTTGGTTAGTGTTTGGCCCACTACAGAAATGCTTTGATCAGTTTGTTGTTGAGGATTATACTAGTGTAGTGAATGGAGGAAGGTAGATTTTTTTTTATCGATTGGAGCGCACGAAAGGGAATCCCTATAATGTTCAAAGAACATCGTGGTATGAAATGCTTATTTGTTGACTGCTATTATTTATTTATTTAAGTTTGGGTTCCTTCCGAATGGAATAGTTCCGTGAGCTCCGTTGTTATCCCTGTTTCGCGAAAATATCTCTAAGAAATAAAACAATATGGGAGCAGAAAATAATGAAGAGGAAAGTCAGAAATTTGCATATATTCTATTTATTATGAAGAGAAACAGTATGTCTAAAGAAAAATCATAGATTTTGGACCTATCTTCACAGACAATTTTCGAAGATTTCATGACGCAAGTGAATATTTGGCTAGAGGAATGGAGGAAAACGGCAATGAAAAGTTTTTCAATTATTTCAAAATGTGAACTTGAAAATCAACCAAGAACCAGATTAGAAGTTACGCTTCGTTATTTGGCATCTGGTGACAGTATGACTTCTATTTCATATATTTTTCGTGTTGGGATTTCTACAGTTACAGAAATTATTCCTGAAACATGCCTTCCGAGGCATTTAGAACACATCCATAGAAAAACTGCAAACACATCCCACAAAGTTTATGAGTTGTCGACGGTTTAGGAAAAAATCTAAAAAATTAAAATATTCACTTAACCTAGCTTTCTTCTCATCACGGACAAATTAAACGGAGGAAACTTTAATTTTGAGCTAACTGGGTACTTTGCAATTGCTGACTCATCCGTGTCGATCTCTATTGGTCAATATTCGTAAAAAAATGTATGAACTTACAGATATTTCAAGGACTCCAGCAGGGCAAATATGTTTCCAGGCAGATGGTCTAGTTGGTTATCGAAAAGATCCAGTTCTGACAAATACGACAAAGAAGCGAAGGCATTCTTGTTTAGTGTGGTCAACGTGTTGATTCCTAAGTCACTAAGGAACAAAATTCATGCAAGGTTAGCTTGTTCATCTATAAAAATAGGTATAACTTGTCAAACCTCAGTCGAGCTATCATCTTCTATTTCGTTCTTTTTTATGTGTCTCAAACATGGAAGGAATAATAACTCGTCGCTTTCTTTGGAATTGATGTTAATATGAGTGTTCAGTCGGTTCAAAAAGTCAAATATACCTTTCCCAAACAGATTATTTGGACTATATGACTCCACTGCTCTTTCTGATATCTTTATAAAGTGATTTCCATATGACCTTGAAGGTACTGTGTACTAATGTGTCTGGAGATGACTGTTTGAGCCGAAACTATAGTCACAATACATTCTGTGTAGTATGATTTTTTGTGGTCGACCGACATGGTGTATTTCTGTCTGTTTCTTTGAAAAGTGATGATGACCGTTACAAATGAAATGTGATTCGTATACTTACATTGCCTTGACATCATGCGGCACAACTTGATTGGCCGGAATTGTGGTTAAGTCATTTTGCCAACAAATGAGGCTTTTTGTTTCCGGTCGACACTTGCACGGACCTTTGCCGCAATCTATCCATCTTTCGTTGGATTTCGAAATCTCCCAAACTGGAAACCAAATGATATCCTAGACTACTTCACTCATCACATGACCTGACCAATCACAAGCCAGAGACAATGTGTGCTTATCGCGAAAGCATTAGCTGTCTTTCAATTCTGATTGGTCTATCAGCGTTGATGGTTTCAACGATGTAACCATGGATAGCGAAGCAAAATCTGGATGTAACCATGGATAGCGAAGCAAAGTCTGGCAGTTTGGCATGAAATAGTTATGGCTGTACTTGTCAGAATGAATCACTCATTTATAATGAATGCCTTTTATGCTTAGTGATCGTGAAATAGTCTAGCAGAATACCACTCTGTTCTGAATGTTCTTCCATTGTGTGTTGTGATGTTGCTCGGTAACAAAATTTCTTGAACACTGATGCGACAGAATTATCTCGAATATTCAGAACAGCGTGATATTACTTATGATAATACGATATATTGTCATCCTCGAGAAATATCCCGAAAAGAATCAGGAGTTAATTTTCAGTTCACTGATATTTACTCTGTTGACAGCACTTGATCAAGAGTGTAATATATTCAAATCCTATATGAAGAAAATGAATGAAATCAGATCAAACCGTACCAAGAACAAAACTTTAATATGTTTAAAAATTCGATTCTGGACTGTTTCGTTCACCTTCATTCTAAATTCAGGAGTGATTGAGCTATTGACACATATTTTTACTAAATGGGAGAGAGAGATAATATATATGTTTATTGTCCAAGATACATGATTTTATCGACAAACACTTTGTATAAAATGCTGTGCTGTGCGATTCTTGTGTACTCGACCATTCACAAATTTTATGGGACAGTTTTTGTTCATAATCATATTTTCTATCGATTTGGAATATTGTATATGTATACTGATGGGTGTCCTATTTATAAAAAATGTAATCTCTTGACTCTTGAACGCGATGTTCGATTCTTCTGTAGATTTCATCATCATAATCAGTGAAATAAATACTACAAATTTGCCCATTTCTGATATTGTACCTCCAATAATAACCAAGTTATAGCAGTAGTGCCGACTAAAGTTTGAAAACCATATATTATGTCTGTTCGCTATGAATATAATTATTCAAAATTTCTGCAAAAATCATGGGGTTCCTTTGTTATTTTTCTCGATTGCTTGAATTTCAGATCTCTTATTAGTTTCAGAAATGTGTTTCAAGAGCACTGATAATTTGACGAATACATTTGAAGATCACATTTATAATACATAAAAAATGATTTGGTCAGAAAGTTTCATGAATTCATAGATATTTATCAAGTTATTCTTTGTTCTGCCGATCACTTAAATTCCTATTTGCTTATCAATCTTATCATATTCATTGTCTTTCACTTGGAATTATATTCTAATCTCATAAAATAGTTTCTACTTTATGGTCGATCGACATTTCATATACAATCTACACTGATGATGGATTGATGGATTGATTTACAGGGTGGCTGGAATAATTTGAGCCTCATCATTGGGATCTCGTAAACCGTGAGAGATACAGGGTCGGTTAAATTTTGGAAAAGTTGCCTAATTTTTTGCCTAACAGAATGTCGGTTAGAAACTTGGAAAATTCCGAATACTTTATTCGGAGATATATGGAAGAATTTCCTGAAAAAGTTTGTATTGTTTTTCCACGTAAAATGAAGAAATTGGTCGAGATGGATGCCACTTTATCATGGCCACTTTTTCCATACAAGTTGACGATCTCAAATTTGAAATCCGACGTTTCACGTTTCAGAAACCATCATCAACCTGTATTTTGTTTGAATTTTTTTAAATTTTTTCACACTTCTGGATGTCCCAGAAGTTTCTTATTGATAATTGAACAAAATACAGAGTAGGTACAATGGTACAAAGTTACCCACTGGAATTAGTATTCAGAATATAATTGTCCCACAAGAAGCTTCATATTACGATTGAACAAAGCCATTTCATCGGAGATGTTATAAATTTTGTGCAATTTTTTATTGAATACACCATCATTTTGTGTTCACCCAATGTCAGTATCAATTTAGATCAAGTACCAATTTCATCCAAATTTCTTGGAACGTTGGCATATAAATCACAACTCTCCTGCCTGGAAAATCCACTTTTCCTGCCGTATTAATTCCAGTTAATGTCAGTAGAGGTCGGTTCTTATCATTTCATCAATAAATCTAGTTATCAACCGAAACCGAAAGCAGGCAAGTAATATTTTCTGAAAATGATCATTTATTATTGATACCTATTTCTCATTTTCAGTTGGAGAATGTTAAGCGATGACGGAGAAATTATTTATACACCACCAGAAATCCTGGAAAGAGCACAAAATGGCAAGTCTCGTGAAATATACGAAATCGCTTAGAAAAAAATTACTCAGGAATAATATCATGTCATTTTAGAAAAATATTCTGTTATTTTCAACAACTGAACAGTGACTATACATAACTATTATTATAATTTTTATGTTTATCGAATGTGTTTTTTGTTGTTAACGGAGTTGTCGACATATGAAAAACGGCATTATTTTAGTTCAAATCGAGAAAAATGGTTCGTTATGGAATTCATCAATAAACGAATAGGAGAATTGTAATTGCAGATAGCTAGTGTAACTTTCTCTATTCCGTGCGTAATATGAGATTTACAACTCTTGTTATGTGATATACTATTCTAGTTATGGACTCACCTGGCTGTTCCAGCGACCTGAGCCTCCTCTCCAACTGGACCAAATACCCGCCGCTGTCCTTTTCCTCCAAGCTATCGGAAAACTCTTTGAGATTCATCTGGCTCCTTTCCAGAGCTTCGCAGCCGTTGATTTCGCAAATTTGAGCTTCAATTCGGCCGCAATGAAGTAGGACGCAAATCAAGAAAACTACAAGGACGACCTCCATTTTCGTTTGTCGTGTGCTACATTCGTTGACTGTTGACATTGCAATGTTTGAGAGCGGCAATAGGGCCTCGATTAGAAATTTCATTGGATAATTCGTTCGTGTTTATTACCGTGAAAATGGCTTCTAGCTAGTCTACTCAATGTGGAGAAAAATAATATGCATATATATACAGAGTATGAATGGATGATGATTCCTTATTGTTTCGTTAGTGTTTCAATTATAAATCGCTTTTTTTATCAATTACTCAAAAGTATTTCTGTCATTTCTCATTGGAACCTGGTTGTTTTATTCTCGTGGAATCAGATTCGAAATACTTATTCCAGTGGCAGTTTCATATTTTTATTAGATAGAACAATGGACTACTAGTCAACTGCGTTAGACTTTGGTATCCGCTTGGCTTTTCAGGTAACAATAAAGCTGCTCTCAAGATACCATTTTGTATCGCTTGGAGCGTACGAAAGAAAATCCCTATAATGTTCAAAGAACATCGTGCGTTCCTAGGGAGGATAGGGACAGGAGGTAGGTATTGGATTTTTTTTTGAACTTCTGGAGATTATATGTTGTTGGGAATACTTCCTCAGGCAATGAATTCCAGAGCCTAGCCGTTCTATGGATGAAGGAGTTTTGATAAAGTGCTGTTTGACATCTTTCGAGGTTGAGATTTCTCATCAACCTCAATAAACACCATTCTGAAACTTTGCGACTTTGTAAGTCCACCAACCAGGATGGATTTTGCCACCATGATGAGAGTTTAGAATCATAAGAAGAAAATAAATGATACTTCCAACTACAACATCCTGTATTTGTAAAATGGAACAAATTAGATCACATCCCAGGTACCACAAAAAATTGGCTGAATACTGATTTTATACTGGGCCGATATAAATATATTGTAAATATAAGAATGATATTGGTCCAATATGAGAGTATATTGAAAATACAATATTGGAATGATAATATTGGTGAAATATTGGTTCAGCCTGGGCTGATTGTGAATCGTCAGCTACAATAGTGAAGCAATATTGGTTGGAAAGTTCGTTTACAATATGTGGAAAAACAGATATATAAGTATTATACAGGGTGTTTCATAATTGAATGCTGATCCTAAAGGGCGATGATCCTTGGATGATTTCAATGAGAGAAGTTCATATCAACATATGTCCTGAACCTCTTAGTTTTTGAGCTACAGGGTGTCGAAATCAGAAGCGTACAGCGTTGTTTTAAACAAAAAATTCAATATCAGGGCTACGAGGACAACACTGGTAAAAGTAAAAGTTTGATTTTCGTCCCAAAACAAAATGTATTTCCACTTATAGTGGGTGTCTACTGAATTACCAAAAACAATATCCAAGAACTGAAGGAACAAAATTCTTTGGTTTTTATTTTTTTACGCGAAAACGGTACATGTATGAAAGTAAGTCTAGGAACCAAATTTGCTCCAAAATGAATGAGAATTGAAAAAAAAAATCTGGTTCTCAGAAAAATCAGTGGCGTACTATTTTTTTCTTCAAAAATTGTCATTTCAAACCCCGTACGGACGCCACTGGTGAGAATTTTTAAATATATTTCACGTAAAAAAATGCTCCTTAATAATGAAAGGGTGTATACAAAATATCATAACAATATCTAAGAGTGATAAAAAATTATGATGAAAAACAAATTTTTTTCTTGAAATTTCATCACCCTGTAGCTCAATAACTAAGAGGTTTAGGACATATGTTGATATGAACTTTTCTCTTTGAAATCATCCAAGGATTATCGCCATTGAGGATCAGCATTCAATTATGAAACACCCTGTATAATATTGTTTCACAAATGTCGGTACAAAAAGATCGTATACATATTGTTTCCAACAATTATCACCAATATTGCAATTTGTACATTCGACCTACCCATTATCAGTAACACGTGGGGCACATAGGCAAGCAATATCTAATGCTCTCGAGTATTTCTATGTGACTGTTTTTTTTACATTTTTGAACACCTGTACACGCTCTTTTCACCAGTGAAAGGTCATATTTCGTAATAGACTTTTTTTCATTCTCGGATCTAATAATCCTTCAAATCTGATACGTCCCTACGACGCTCGAGCACGCTCGAGTAAAACCCTATTTAGCCTCTTTGCTTCCTTTACTACCACTATAGGGTCTCATTTGAGGTCTCATTTAGAACTGAATTGAGTCTGTTATACGTCATTTTGTCATGTTGATTGATGGCTTGTCAGTACCTTGCGAAACAAAGAGATTCACCCCTCAATTTTTTTCTGAAAATCCTCAAGAAGATGTATAATAATGCTCCACGTATGGGAATTCCTCTCAAATCTCAAACCCCACCTGGGATTGGTCCGACCACTTATATAATATGCGACGAAAGATCCCGACTAAGTGAGTGAGTTAACATAAGTTTCGAATCCCTTATTAGACTATATTATAATATTTTTAGAAAATCGAGTACCGTTTCTCAGTACTGAAGATAAAACTCCGAAGTTTATAGCCAAAACGTTTTGCGATACTTTTTATAGTGTTCCTGAAAGCTCCAACATCAAAGTAATGTGCACTTTTACAGATTTATATTCATGGGAATTCGAAACCACTTTTGAAACATAGCATTTGATAATTGTAGGTGTAGAAGTATATGAAAACCCTCAATATCTTATATTGGATTGACGTGATGTTGGGTAGTGATGACTACAAGATTGTAACAATAATTAACTGATATTTCAACAGTATTTTATTCATACAAATTCCATTTATAATCAGTATATTGATACTATCTCGAAGTCATCACTACCCAACATCACGTCAATCCAATATAATATAGCGAAAGCATTTGACTAGGTGTGGCATGATGGTATCTTGTACAAAATGATCGATATGGGCTCTCCTGACGATTCGATTCAGTTGATGTGTTCATTTCTGAAAAATCGAACTTTTCAAGTGAAACTTGATGATCAACGATCTGGCATCAAGCCCAATGAAGTTGGTGTTCCTCAGGGTGCAGTTTTATCGCTTCTGCTGTACAGTTTATATATTAGCGTTTTGCCGAGACCAGTGATGTGCAAGATGTCGCTTTTTGCTGATGATACGGCAGTTCTTGCATATTCGACAAATTTCGAGCAAGCAGCTATGAACCTCCAAAGCGCGCTGAATTCTCTTCAGAAGTACTTCCTAAGATGGAAGATCAAATTGAAATCCTACAAAAACACAATTGGTCGCACTCGGAAGGGAGCGGAGGCATCCCAGAACCAAAATAGTCCTGGATGGTCATGAGTTAGAGTGGTCTTCACAAGTTGAATACTTAGGACAAAAAGCTCACCTGGGCCCAGCACATTGAACAGCAAGTTTCAAGAGCTAAACGAGCCATTGGAGCCTTGTTTCTTTTTCTGAACAGACGAAGTAAACTGGGTTTGGGACCAAAATTTAATATTTACATCATGTCCATCAGGCCGATTTTACTGTATGCCTCGGTAGTCTGGGGCCACAACGCTGAATCTCATATCACCAGATTTAAACATTACAAAACAAAATCGCGAGAATGGTGATAGGATCTCCTTGGTATGTTCGGAATAACCAGATCGCCAGGGATCTGAAACTCCCTTCAATCGTGTCGGTCATTAGAGAACGAAACATCAAGACTTTCAAAAAAGCTAAGTTTCAGGAGAATCAGCTCGTTCGGAATGCAGTTGATTATGACCAAGGTGATCAATCACAGTTAAAAAGACCGAGATTGTCCATGAACTAGAGGAAAAATCAACATTATGACCAAATTCACTATTCTCAAGTGTTTGATATTTATTTTTTCCATTCGATCTTTTTCAATTCTCAGAATGTATTTCTGAAACTTATTTGGGGCAGAATAAGGGCTGTTCGCATCAAACTTCAATACCGTTTCCATTTTGTTTCATGATAGGTATCAGGATAAGAGGGACTCTTCCCTTTTTTGAATCAAATAAAAGAAAGATCCAATATTGAAGGTTATTATAAACTTCTACACCTACAAAATGAAACTTATGGATAAAATACTGTTGGAATTATTCTATATCAGTAAATTATTATTACAAGAATGTTTCATTGGAACACATATTCCACAATAGTTTTCATGAATACGACATTTCGTGAAATTGTCTACAGAGGTGTCAAAAAATCCAATTCAAGAAATATTTGCATATCTTTTCGTACAAGGTCACCAGAATTTCACCACCTTGTATTCGTTTCAAAAAGTATTCTTCGAGATGTTCAATTGTTTTTCTGGTGGCATTTTCTGCACTCATTCAATGGAGGGTTACAGAAAAATTACATTAAATTACTTATGAAAAATATTCGTCTCATGTTTTTTGTTCAGTTGTTCAACAATATGACAAGTTAGTTTGGTCACACTTTTAACGCGCATACATACAGGGTGTCTCCCTATATTTTGACCCCTATACCAGAGATTCAATCTCTGCCTATACCTATGGCTTCAAAAATACGAGGTGGAGAAAAACTTCAAATATGAAAGTTGTGAGGTTTCATTTGTACTATATTTTGCTCCCCTCAAATTAACAAATGCGTGTGGAAAAAAATAAAAAAATATTCCAGATCAATTTTATTTTCAATTCTAGGGAAAGATCTTTCCTTCCTGTTCCCAAATATATATAGTTTGCCAATGTTTCCTTGTTTCCTCGAGCCATTTGTCACTTATTCAGCGTTCAGTCAATGTTGCCAATAATATTTATAGATGTCTGTGGACACACCATAGAAATGCCATAGAAACAAAACAGGTATTTTTGACATCTCTGTCGATTTTTCAATCAAAAAGGGTTCTTCCGTAGAGAAAAAATACGAGATAGTGAGATTATATTATACAGGGTGATTCATTAGGAATGGGAAATCTCTGATTTACAGGTAGTTAACACAAATATAATGAGCTTTAGCCCAATATGCCTGATGAGAATGTTGCTGGTTTAGGAGATACAAGGTGTTCTAGGGGAAGATTTCATTTCAAAATTTTACAATTACTTCGTTAGTTTCAACAGAATGAGCATGAGATCTTGTATTTCTAGGTTTTCTGACACTCTGGCACTCTGTTACTTCGATAATTTACATCATATCTTCTATGTCAATTTATTGATGATCGAAATAAGTGGAAAATTTGAAAGCTCGTTTCTTATGAAGAATAAACTCTTTATCAAATTCCGCAACCTCAACGGTTTTTGTGTTATTCGCTCTTGAAGAGATTTATGTTCCAATCATGAAAGTTTAATAATTTTATTTATTGAATAAAGAATGGGAAATCTCTGAGCTACAGATAGTAAACACCCAAATATGAATATTTAGCCCAACATACCTCTTAGAAATATTGCTGGTTTGAGAGATACAGGGTAGTTAAGGAGAATATTTCAATTCAAAATATCTTCTCTGGATAGAGGTCAAAATATGAAGCAACACCCTGTACATATTTTTCTCCAGTGAGCTATAATGACATTACTGTTCTTTGTAGTTGGGCTCCTCGCCGAGAAACAAAGCTCCCAGATTCACTTACTCAGGGGCGGACTCCCCCGGGCCGGGCGCGTACGACCCTGAGCCTGAGCCGCCCCTGTGCCCTGAGGGATTCAAGCGGCCGCCCTCACGCGGTAGGCTGTACGTCTGCAGGGTGCCCTACACCCTCAAAGGGTGCGGGCCGTCGGTGCCTACTAAGATCAACGAGAACGGGTACTTGCTGAATGCAGAGGGGGATGTTGTAGCCATACCGCCTACTGAGAAGGAGGGTGCTGCTTTTTATGATATTTCTGAGGTTAGTGTGGTTTTTTTCAGGGGTCAATGGGTTGGGTGCAAGAACTGTCAGATGACCGACACTGGAGGCAAAATATTGAAACACAAACGTCACTTTACTTATTTGTTTACAAGTGATTGAAATAGTTTTTCACAATTATTTGGCATACGAATCGTATTTTTCCGCTATTCATCAATTCGCTCATGCCATCACATTATGCTGTTGTGAAATGCACAAAAACTGCAGCGGAAGACGAAGTAATCCGGTTGGTACAATATGATTCAAAAGTAATAAGTACCTACTATAGTCACTCACATATAGTTTTCATTTTTGAAATTTGGTAATTTCTCTGATTTCTCATCGGAATTCTTTCTGCGATAGAAGCTAATAGAAATACATCTGAAATTTCTAAAATAATGCCAGAAAATTGGATTCATGCAATCAATTGGCAGGACTGGTCTGACATGCTGACGATCGTGTGTGTTGTAGACATTTTCAATCTATTAGCAGTATTAGCTTGTATTGCAGAAGTGGCAGAAGGCAGAAGGAATTTTAATAGGGAATGACAACATTTCATAATGATAAATATGTGAGATTACTATTGACCTGAAAAATCATATTCCCTAGTCTCTTGCTGCATTTTTTGTGCATTGTACAACAGCACAATGCGAAGGCATGCTCGAATTAATGAATAGCGCAAAAAACACGATTCGTATGCCAAAATATTGTGAAAAACTAGTTCAATCCTTTGATTCGTCTGTCACCAAGTAAAAAAGTGAGGTTGTGTTTCAATAATTCACAGAAGAATGAGGTTGTATTTCAATATTTTGCCTCCAGGGGCGACCTATAGAAACTCAAGCTCACATTTCTGTAAACCATTGAAACACAACCTCACTTTTCCTGTTTGTTTACAAAGGAATCGAAGGATACAAATAGTTTGTCACAATATTTTGGCATGGCAATCATGATTTTTGGGCTATTCATTGATTCAAGCATGCCATCATGCCATCACATATTGTGCTGTTGTACAAATGCACAAAAAATGGAGCGAGAAACGAAGGTATCTTATTTTTCAGGTAGGTACATTGTGAACTAAGAAAGTACTAATAGTGACTCACTTAGTGAGTAAAATTGTCGATGAAGTTGAAGACGATGGAAAATAGAAGGCAACTGCACTCGTCCTGTCTCTATCATAAAATTATCATTACCAAATGTCCCCCCTACCTGTATAATAAAGCAAAATTCAGAACTGATGTACATCAATGTACGGTTCAAAGGACTTCTAACGCCGCCTCAATTCAAAACTGAATTTTTCGAACGCTCCTTCAATCAATCCCAAAAATTGTCAAAATTCAAAACCAGTCTTGAGCTAAAGATGAGTGAAAATCAGATCTGAACAATTTCTAAGACCCTCCTCAGTGAAAAAATCTATTAATATTAAGAGGATGTTGTTTAAGTTAAGTTAGCTCCAATCTGATTTTTGAGACCTCTGAAGGTTGAGTGGAAGAACAAGGCAATAGTAAGTTTACCTACTATATGAATTGAACTTCACCTTTTATTTTCAGTCCATATCATCTATACTTATAAAAAAATGTATGTCAATATATTGTACAGTACTGAAAATAGTAAAGCCGTTTATTATTATTATTATTATTATAATGATCTAGTATTCACTATCCAGTATTTGAATCTGAAGAGAATCACTCTGCCATATTGCATTTGTTTATAGTGTAATTGCATTTTCAAGTTTCGATTATGTAAGTTTGGAATATGAGGGAGTTTATGAGATAATTGGAGTTCAAAAAGAAAATATTTATTTGATATTCGAGACACTCATTATAGGTACTCGGCTAGCACATATTATCTTATATGTATGTATACTGGGTGACACAGGATTTTTTTTCATCGCTTGGAGCGCACGAAAGGAAATCCCTATAATGTTCAAACAATAAAATGCAATTTGACAGCCAATTGATAAACGATTATCAAATTGTGATACTTAATTGATTTGAGGATTTCTAGGCAAATAAGATCCCATCTTTCATCCCATCTGAAAAAATAATGTTGACCCAACTTCTACTTCGGAGCAAACAGTTGGTTGAAGAAAATTGTCATTTAGTTCAAGGAAAGCGCCATCATTGATTATATAACCCTTGCGAATTTCAAATTTTTATCTCTTCGATTGAAAAAACTATACAGGCTGTTACATGTCTCCTGTCTCACCCGGTATATCTACCAAGGAAGCGAGCTGAAGCCAATTTATTTTACCTCCCAAGGGAGACATTTTCTTTCTCCCTTGAGAGTAAATTGACAGGTTCGTGTCCTCAAATAATGAAGCAAACACTTTCAATGCAATGAGTAGATAAAAAAATAAAGCTAATTGATGGCGCGATTTGAAGTAGATCTTCTCCTCTATCCAGAAACCTGCCTACCTGGATCGATATAAGGGTTGCAAATGGTCGCAGAGAACTTCGAAACGTTCCTTCACGAATCCCAAAGCAGGTCCCGGTCCAGCCGACTACGATGTTCGCCTTCCCGAATGCGCCAGAGACGTTGAAAACGACAAATTCCGAGAGATGGCGCGGCTGTTGACGTTCCTGCCGAGGTTTCTTGATGCGCAAGACATGAAGTTGAGGAGAGAGGTGAGAACAACCTTTTTCTTTATTTTCTTTTTTTATTTCACTTAGTATTACATTCTTTCCTTCGTTGATACATTTTATTCAAATAATATATTATAAAGTATAATTAATTTTCTAGTAGGAATGACATGAATGATCAGACAGTAATTCCTGGTATAAGATCAATCATGGAGCATTATTGACTGTTGTATAATTGAAATTACAAATAGTGAACAAAACTTATATATAATAATGATAATAATAATAATGACTTTATTGAAAATTGGAAATTGACAAAATTGAAAAAATTGGCAAATTGATATTACAAAAAAAGAAAATATTTCAATTTTTCAAAAGGCGAAGTTCAGGATGCTCCGTGAGGGGCTCCACAAGAAAGAAAAAAACAGTGAAGAAGAAAAAAGGAAATTCATAGTCTCTCAGCTTCGATCATTCCTTTGTATATAAATATATTCCGTCACTCTATTTCGAATTGTATAACATTTGAGCTGTTTTTGAAATCATCTGGTAATTTATTGAATTTCGAAATCGCCTCATGTGTAAACTTTTTTGTCCAACTTTAGAATTTGCAGCTTAAAGATGAAACAAGTCATATTGTCTAGTGTAATGACCATACATTTGGGAATTCCTAATCAATATATGAAATTTGCTGTAAGCTTTTTGGTGATGAAATAATGGGAAATTATGAGAGTATTGATTACAAAGTTCTCTTCCAAAGAAAATGTGTTTGTTTCCGTATACAGTTGATTTGTTGAAGAAGTATCATATAATTGTTCATTGAGAAAATAGCTTTTAGTCAGAAATATGATTCTGGTATGGGGAAGTTGATTACGAGCAACAATAATAAAATATCATAAGGTGACAACAAGAAGAAAATCAAGAAAATCTAAAATTGCTAAATCGATCAAATCATAAAAATAGCAACAGGGATTAATTAATCTGTAGTAGAAGGACAAAGTGAAAATTTCATCCCTTCCGTAATAAAATCATATTGTGTTTTTTTGATGCAATTTTATCATGTGAAATATGTCTGCAATTTTCTATATTGGTATAGTAGTAGTAGTAGTAATTCCTTGAATTCAGCTGGAGAAGCGTGAGTAATTTTTTTTTGACCAATTATAGAAGTAGCAGAATCAATATAATTTTTTTTTCGAATTGGGTCGGCCGTTACTTGATGGAAAACCATGGCAAATGTAAAAACTTTACAAACGATAAGATTCCCACGAAAATTTGTGTGAGTATATGAGAATGAAGTACGATGTTTATGATGTTTTTATCAAGTCTAGGACATCTTCGCAAAGCTTCAATGATTGGAGATATTTTTTGTATCAGAACCTCATCTATAAATCAGATCTCCAGAGTCGC